TGGATTTGAAATAAGCAAGGTATGGTATTATTATTATTGATTGATTGTATAACTTCATACAGGGGTGTTTCCAGCTCCCAGCTGCCTGGTGAAGGTGGAAGTTGTTTGTGAATTAACAGGGAGACACTTTCTTACCCAGCTTCAGTGGAGTCTATGGAACACCTTTCAAAGTGGTGCCAGAATGAATGGAGATCATAGAGCCTAAATGCTGCTTTGCAGAACAACAATGTTCCTTATCTCCATCCCTAAAGATAGCTCCTCGTAACTCTGAATATGGGTTTTCCTAAAATATAGGATTCTCAGTGCTACCTATGTGTGTGCCCCAAAGACCAGAAATGGTTAGAAATGCCTTAAGATGATTTGTTGAGCAAAACACCACGTTCTTTAATTGTTCAAAGCAACAAGCAAATAACTCCAATTTCACCTTCACATACTGTATTGGCCTGAATATAAGCCTCACTTTCCCGCAAATTCCAACTGTGAAAAGTTAAAGTGGGGCTTATATTCACGACCTTACGGTGTGCAGCCAGGAGTGCGGGGCAGACAGCACCAGGAGCGTGGCAAAGCGGTGCCCGCCCTGCACATAGTCCCTGTCCTCTCCCCCAAGACTGGGAAGGGAGAGAGTGATGATGGGGAAAGACTGTCGGCAATGTAGCATCCCCCCCCCCCCCAGTATGCAGCCAGGAGCACTGAGGAATGGAGTGGCTTATATTCAGGTATTTTTTCCCCTTTTTTTCTTTGCTCCCTCCAATTTTAAAGGTGCGTCTTATATTCAGGCCAATATCGTATGCACCTACCATGAATAAACTCAAGTGAAGATAGCAGCACAATATGCATATCACATTCATTATAGGAAGGATTAAATGCTTAGAATCTGTTAAAGAGGCAAATGCTCATATTATGACCTCTAGAAAGCCCTTATCAAAACAATTGGTATTTCTGGGAAAGGGGGGGGGCGTACTTTTTTCTAATGTTCTAGAATCACAAGTTCAGTAACATGTCCTCCGTTATGCTGCTTTCAGTCTGATGCAACAGTATTTCTTTATGCTCTTTATATTTGGTTTATTTTGTTTATCAATAGACAAAAATTAGAAGATAAATAAAAAATAGTTGCTGTTGCTGTAGCATAGCACAGTTTGAGTTCTAGTGCATTCCACATCTAGAAGAAATAGGAGCATAGAGCCTTCAGTATCTGCCTGTCTACATGCTATAATCACATCTTCCTTCTGGTAAGGGTGATCTGTTTCTCATCTTCCATTGACATCTTCCCTGGTGATGGAAAGAAAACTGCATGGAAGAGGTGGATATCAACAATAAAAATAATACTGCATTGAGATATCTATTTTGCATTCCAGAGATGGAATTCTAGCATTCCAACAACTCTGTCAACAGACTGTCTTGTACGTGTATTAATTCAGCATTTTAAGCGGCTGGATATCATCCTGTTAGTGACACAGGAAATGTCCATGAATGCTGACAAATCCAATTTAAACCCAAGAACAGAGCCACATTTTCTCAACATCAGACACATTGTTTCAGCACTCAGAAAGGGCTGCTTTTCCATTCACACCTGGGGTACAGATGGATGGACCAGCTGCATCTCAACTTGGAATGGACCCAAATATTTACCCTCCTCCTGAGAATTCTTCGGAAAGCTTGGGCTTTCCCCAAGAGTTCTCTGAAAACTCACAAAGACCTGGCCAAATCCAAATGTCTGTATCTGGGCTTCCTGATGTTCTAGCCTTCCTGCAGCTGGTTTTACTTCTCCCTCTTTTGCAAACTTACATTGTAAAATGGGGAAGGGGGTGAAACTAGCTGCAGAGAGCTCCCCCCTCCATTTGCCTTCACCCAAGCCTCCTTTTCAAGAAACCCAACACCACCATTTCACATTGTTCCGTCTTTTCTCAGGGCAGTATCTCAGATATTGAACTCTGGCTGAATTCAGCTGGTAGCAGTTTGGTTAGGCATGATTGCAGAAATCAGCACAAACTCAGATTTATGCTGCAATCACTACATGTTGGAATGTTCATGTTAACTGATCTTCAGGTGCTCATGAAAGGACTAAGATCTTAACAAAAGTTAAGTACACAGTTCTGGTGGTAGCAAAATTCAGAACGGGTGAATTCTAGTTCCCAACTTTAGCTGCTATAGGAAGCTCTAAGAGGCTAATATATTCTCTATATTCACTGTCATTAAGATATTTACAGCAGGAAATAAAAGTTATTTATGGGCTGTTTGCAGATTTAACTCCTTGACTCAGAAACCCGAATGCCTCCCCCCACACCCCATGCTGGTGACATTCTTCTTCAAAGAGATATTCTCTTTAAAAGTTTTCTTGTGCTTACAGAGAAATGCTGCTGATTTTTTCCTCCCACATAATGCCCAATCAATACATTTGATTAGAACTCTGCTTGTTATTCTAACCTTAGGTGGGGATGTTATCCGCTGTGCCACATTTAGTGATGACTATTATCGTGCCTATTGGGGGACAAATTGCAGACTTTCTGAGAAGCAGACAAATTCTTTCAACCACTACTGTCAGGAAGATAATGAACTGTGGAGGTAAGTCATTACACCTTATTAAAAGGCTTTGAGCACAGTATAGTGAATAATACCCAGTTGGCAACACTTTCACTGCCACACTAAAGCTTTCATTACAGTTACTTTGATAAAGCTACATGATTAAAATGTTTATAATGTGCTGATTCATGTATGATCATGTAACAGAACAGACATGTGCACTCCCCTTCATGAAGCACATGAGGCAGTTCTCACACTTCCTAAGTGCAGAGGACCATATAACACTGCTCCTGAAAGACCTACATTGGCTCCCAGTACATTTCCAAGCACAATTCAAAGTGTTGGTGTTGACCTTTAAGGCCCTAAATGGCCTCGGTCCAGTATACCTGAAGGAGCATCTCCACTCCCATTGTTCAGCCCTCTGGCAGTTCCCTCACTGTGAGAAGCGAAGCTACAGTAAACCAGGCAGAGGGACTTCTCGGTAGTGGCGCCCCCCCTCCCCGTGAACGCCCTCCCATCAGATGTCAAAGAAATAAACAACTATATACATTTAGAAGACATCTGAAGGCAGCCCTGTTTAGGGAAATTTTTAATGAATGATGTTTTAATGTATTTTTAATCTTTTGTTGGAAGCCGCCCAGAGTGGCTGGGGAAAGCCAGCCAGATGGGCGGGGTAGAAATGATAAATTATGATGATGATGATGATGATGAAATAAGTTTGCATCAGTCTGGCCCAGTGCTATATTTCTAGAAAAAGAGGTGCCGGAATTCACTATGAACACCTCCCTCTTTCTCTTAGAATGGCAATGCTGCCCACCTGAGAGGTACTGGACCTCAGTTCCTGTGAGTTCTCCCTGAAAAAAAGCCCCAGTCTGGCCTGTATGCATATATTGTTATGCGGACTCATGTCATACACTGTCCATCTCTTTGAATGCTGGAGGGGAGGGGTGCACCTGTTTCTACACCACGCAAAGAAAACTGACGGAAGGATTTTATGAATTAGGTCTGAGCTATGTAGTTCTGTAGACCAGTGATTTTCAAAGTGGGTGGTAATGCCCTCTGGGGTGGTGTGTGAGGGGGTGCTATGAGACAGGGAGGGGTGGAGGTGTAAATGACTATTAGACGTTGAAAAGTTGATATCGCTGAATTGAGTTTTTCAATTTTGTTGAATTAATGAAACTAAATAGTTTTAATTGGATTTTGAATAAATGTGCAATTAGTAGTTTCTGTTCTGAATTCTATTGTGTTATTATCCTCCATAGTGGGTCATGCAAACAGCTATTCTGAATAATCCTTTTTATGGGGTAGGGGGCACCTCCCCCCACATCACTGTTCCAGGACAGTCCACTCTGCTATACTGAGAAATTCCTCATCTTGCCAATAGCTCTAAGTCTGGATACATGGCTCTTGGGTTGCTGTACCTTCTCTTCCAGCAAGGCAACCAACTTGCACTTGCTGCAGGTGTAGTTTTGCACATTCTCAGGCAGGAAGACAACCAGGTGCTGTAGGTCACTGCAGCAGCTTTCTCACAGTCTATGTCTCTTGGTCCTAAGTACACCCTGAGACAGCACTCCAGTCCTCCCCCTAAAACTAATAATAATAATAATAATAATAATAATAATAATAATAATAATAATTTGTACCTTACCCATCTGACTGTGTTGCCCCAGCCATTCTGGGTGGCTTCCAACAGAATACAAGAAAAACACAACAAAACGTCAGACGTTAAAAGATTCCCATTACAGGGCTGATGTTAGATATCTACAGAAGGTTGTATAACTGTTTATCTCTTAAGGATGATTTATTATTTGTAAACTCCCCTGCTAAATGCTCTCACAAACCCCCTGTTTACAAGCTCCCAGAGACTACCATCAGCTAAGCAGAACTAAGTAGATCTTTGTCAAATGTTTCATAGTAGTAGAATATGGAAACATTCCAGCTTAAAGCTTACAGTTAAGGAGAAGCACACTGAAATGCTGTCTGTCCACCAGCCTACTTCCTAGATTCCTCAGTACAATGTGTAGCATCAATGACTTTTTCTTTTAATTTCCCAAGGTTTTGGAATGGAAGCAACTCTTCTCTTGGTAGTTGGTTATTCGCATAGTAAAGGTGTGGCCATTTCCTTCTTAGTGCTTGCTGTGGGCTTCAGTGGATTTGCTATATCTGGTAAGCGAACTTCTCTCCCAAAAGAATACATTAAATAACAATGAACAAAAATGGGATCTAAAATCATTATGTAAATTGCAAGGTTTCCTGTGAATATGGTAAGGTTTTCAATAATGGATAAATATAAGCAAAACCTTATTCAGTGCAGTGTCTTCTCTGTTGATGAGTGTTCCCCCCTCCCCTTTGGCCTTCATTTTACAGGATTCAATGTTAACCACTTAGATATCGCACCAAGATATGCCAGTATCTTAATGGGGATTTCAAATGGAGTCGGGACATTGTCTGGCATGGTGTGTCCTATAATTGTTGGAGCAATGACAAAGAACAAAGTAAGTTTCCAAAATAGTTTTTGTTAACTTTGCCTGAACCATTGAGGAAAGAAAGAACAGTCTCATGAGACTATATTGTCATTCTGTTGCACCAAAAAGTCAATTCATAGTAGTTTCCTCACCTCACAATGGTAAAGTGAGCCGATCCTGGAAAAATCATGGGAAACAGTGTAACATTGATTGGCTACACTTTTCACAACATAGCTGAAAGTGAAAACTCACCCAAACTGTGTGCTGTACCTTCTGTGAAAGTCTCATATTTTAGGAAGATTGAATCTAGTGTTACAGGAGCATGCAATGGGCTGTAGATTCACAATCCTGTTGGGAGCACGTGGGGCATGATTACATAAATTGATGCTCCTACAACTGCCTTCACCACCCTGGGGTCCTCCACATGTTGTTGGACTCCAGCTTCCATCACCAGTGACTATTGGCTATGGTGGCTGGGGCTGATGGGAGATGGAGTCCAATAACATCTGGAGGGCTGCAGGTTCCTCATCATTGGGATTGTATATGGTGAAGGGCTGAGGCTCAGTTGTAGAGTATGTGGCATGTCCCAATCTCTGGATCCTTTGGTGTCTTCGGTTGCTGATGCTATGGAGATCTGCTGCTCTTCCCCCTGCTGTTCCTCAGGTTCCAGGTCTGGGCATGGCTGAATCCTTGAGATTTTGGAAAGCAATTGGCAGTCAGACTCAGGAATCTCACAGTATAATATGGCTTCAGATGTTCATGAGTTGTAAGCAGAGCAGTATACAGCAGATATTCTTTACATACCATGCATATGCTGCTTTAACTACCTATGCAACTGAAGCCACTCCATAGGGCAGTAGTAGCTGACCTGTGACCCTCCAGATGTTGTAGGACTGCAACCTCTCATAAGCCTCCAGCAACATCTGGAGGGCCAAAGATGAGCCCCCTTTGCTGCAGGATTTGTATCAACCACCCATGATTTCAATAAAGACTAATTCAGGACCAGAAGAGCCACACACAGCTATTCTGACACTCCAATCTTCTTCCTCACAGACACGCGAGGAGTGGCAGTATGTCTTCCTTATTGCTGCTTTGGTGCATTACGGGGGAGTCATTTTCTATGGCATATTTGCTTCAGGAGAGAAACAACCATGGGCAGACCCAGAACAGACAAGTGAAGAAAAATGTGGCTTCATTCATGAAGATGAACTTGATGAAGAAACGGGAGACATTACTCAGAATTATGTAAATTATGGTACCACTAAATCTTACGGTGCTACGACCCAATTGGCCCAGGTCAATGGAGGCTGGCCAAATGGTTGGGAGAAGAAAGAAGAATTTGTACAAGAAGAAGCACAAGACTCATATAGCTATAAGGAAAGAGAAGATTATTCATAACAGACCTATGTTGGATATATTTTGTAGTGTTCGTGATTTATTCATTGTGATTGTTTGCACACACACAAAATGTGGTATAATGTAAACACATATCAGGCAAGAAGGTCTTACTGTAAAAATGAACAAACAAAAACCCATTTAAGTGCAATCTGTATGAGTTTGTGACATCTCATCAGTTCCATTTGGGTGTCTCCATTCACTAGAGATTTAAGGGTTATCTGGTCAAAACTACAAAGGAAACTAGGTACTTGCAGTAAAATGAGTGTTAAGCTCATAGCTAAGGATTAAAGCACAACTACCAACCAAGTCGGTACATCAACTCCTCTGTTTAGAAAGCCAAAACTACTTGATTTTTTAAAAATGCACTTACATATTTGTTACACTGTCTTGAAAGAGATCATAAAATTGATTGTGTGAATTTAACCACATGTTTACTTGGTACGATGTAGGAAATGTATGGTTGGTCTAAGACATGGATTTCTTAGAGAATAAGGCTTCTGTTTTAGATTATACAATAAAGCTCCAATCCAGTTCCCTTTTGAGAGAACTGAATTGGGAGTTTGTAGAACAATCTACTATATAATGTATATTTATTGTGATGAATATGCTGCAGGCTACTCTGTGATAAAGGAATTGTTTTTACTGAATGTTTAGGCACAAATGTTTTATTTCTCTTCTTTACAGACTCATGCAGTCTTTGTATGTGTCATGTTCTTCCTTACATGTACCAGCCAGTATAAAGTCACATGTAGTCTACTGTGCAGAATGTTAAATAACTGAAGCAAGGCAAAGGAGTATTTGGCGTACTCATTGTCTGCAGGCTCATTAGAAAGAGAGAGAATAACCCAAACAGATCCAAAGAAAAAATGTACCGCAGACAAGTAGCCCTAGAACAAATCAGATGTATTTCTTTTGAAGCCTGTTTTGAAATAAATGCAAGAAAGGGGGAAGAAATTAGCTATTTGTTTAATCCTGGATAGTTTTTCATATTTTCAGATGCTGTGCCACAATTATATAAATAAAGTCATAGTTTATTGAAGATGCTGTATAATTATAGAAAATAGTACTATTTTAAAGATTTCTGAATTTTAAGAAAAAATGTATTTGCCTTTCAAATAAATAGAACTATAATGGACCCTGAATATGAGCAACAATCTTCATGGTGAGTCAAAAGTGGAACTGGGGTTGGGTTTAGGAAGAGTGTAGCTTCTACTTTTGCAATGCTCAAGTGCAATTCAGATCCATCGCAATCAATGGAAGGTTTGCCATTGGCTTCAGTGGACTGCGGGCTACAGGTCTTTGCCTTGATAGGAAAGCCTTGTGCAATTCAGGAGCTGCAGTGAGCACACTGAGCTCCCACAGGCTTTTCAGAGGGGCCACTCAGAGCATGTGCATCTTTTTGTGCCCGAGGGATCTGACCTTGCTGAAGTGAATAGGGAAACCTGAGAAAGCGGGAGCTCTGTATGTGCTTCATGAACACAGAGTTCCGGATCAGGGCCTTGCATTATTATTTTTTAAAGCGTTATTCAGCAAGATTTGTAATGTAAGTGTACCAAGCAATAAGTGCCATGCACTATGAAGTGCATGCTCTTTTAATCTCTTTGTTACTGTGACTGCTGAGCTTGTAGGTCCTTCAGACAGTTGGGATAATAAATAAATAACTAAATAAAAGGCCAGACCAATCAACAATGGACTACATTAGAATGCCAGACCACTTACTGCTCTTACAAGTATCCATTTCCCAACTCCAATGAAACAACTATCATTGTATGTTTAAAAAAGCCATTCTGGGTTTTTTGATCTGCTCCTTGTATTGTGCTAGTATTTTAAGGCCCTGCTACTGCAATATACAACTTGAGGATTGTTCTTCTTCTTCTTTTTTATTATTATTAAACAAGAATAAAATAAAGTGAACCATACTTTGATCCGGAGGGGGAGAAATACCAATTATATATTTTGCTTTGTGCCTCAAAGTGATGTAAAATGTGGCCATAGCTTTTGCTGTGAAAAGATGTGGACTGTGTCACTTTTGTTGCTGCAAAAAGTGTTAATAAATGCTCTATTTATCCTTTTATATATAAAGGAAGCACCTGTGTGATTTCTTCTGGCATGACTTGTATGGACCAGCTTCTCTTACCTCTTTGCAATGAGCATTGACTGCACACATGAACAGCCTGGATGCTCGAGATTTGCCATTATATCGTTGGCCCACAGCTATTGGACCCTAGGTAAAGATAAAGGTATCCCTAACCATTAGGTCCAGTCGCAGATGACTCTGGGGTTGCAGCGCTCATCTCACTTTATTGGCTGAGGGAGCCGGTGTACAGCTTCTGTGTCATGTGGCCATCATGACCAAGCCGCTTCTGGCGAACCAGAGCAGCGCACGGAAACACCATTTACCTTCCTGCTGGAGCGGTACCTATTTATCTACTTGCACTTTGATATGCTTTCAAACTGCTTTGTTGGCAGGAGCAGGGACCGAGCAACAGGAGCTCACCCCATCGAGGGGATCATACCGCGACCTTCTGATCAGCAAGCCCAAGGCTCAGTGGTTTAACCCACAGCGCCACCCATGTCCCATTTGGACCCTAGAGCAGCTCCTAAATCAATCCTGGAGGTATAGCAGGGTTATGGCAGAGACTGGATCAGCCAGATACAGCAACATCTTCTCTCACATGGACTTCTTTAGGCAAAATTGCACAGCATGCGATCCAAGCCAAATGTCCCTTCTGGACATTCTCCATTCTTTATCTACCACCTTCTTCCATTTCTAAGTGTCAGCAATTAATGGTTGGGATCCAGAGTTCACCTGAGCAGAGCTTCAGAATAGGATATTTCTGCGTGTGGAGAGGCTTTTATTTTTATTTTTTGGGCTAAGTCTTCCTTGCCCCTGCAGCTCCCTGCAAAGCTGCTCTGGAAGGTTGGAGAACCCTCTGGAAAAGTGTGAGAGTTAGCTCACGGGGTATCAGGGGGCAAGGAAAATAAATCTTCCAGCAGGACTCTTATGTGGACCCTAGTCCTTTCTATGAATGGAAAGAGCTTTTCCATTCATGAAAGGGGCACTCTGGATCCAAGCAATTGTATTTTTCACAGCAGCGAGTTCCTTCTCTCATTGGTTAACATAATGCAAGAAATATGAGAGTATCAGAAGGATAATGTGCCCACTATTACATTTACATAATCAGATTCAGGTTTCAGAGACAATATGCTTCTCAGTATCAGTTATCTGGAAGCATAACTGGCAGAGACCTATTGCTATCCTGTTTCTAGGTTTCCACAGGCTTCTGATAGGCCTCTGTACGGATTAGATGGACCTATGATCTGCTCTAGGAGAGCTCTTACATTCTCATGTAGCTTTCCAGTGAGAGCGTTAAAAAGGGAGATGGTCATTGTTTTGGTTCTGTGGAGATTTATCACAGAAATAATGGTTCTTCTAAAGCACACAGTTTACTAGTGAACCCAGCAGCTCCAAAAACCTATGATGAGTTCCAAGAATCTCTGGTGCATTTTCAAGAACTTTGAATTATGAATTGGAAAAAAACAGCAAATTCCAAGGGGGAAATCTTTTTTATGATAACAGTTGAATAATGGTCACAAAAGAATATCTGTGCATCGGAATTCTCTTTCAGTGGAAAATAAAGAATGGGAGGAATTGCTGGTTGTGGGAGAAATGTCACAGCTGAAAGCTGCAAGAATGAAAAGATCAAATTGACATTTCAAGTCACTGCCATGGAGAGATAAAAATGGTTTTGTTCCTTATTGGGTTAGCCCCAGAGTGAGATGAAAATGAAAATAAAAATCCAGTAATATAACTACTATTAACTGCTCAAGAGCAGATGCTTAGTACTGTACCTTAGTTTTGTTTACTATGTATCAGGATATTTTTAAAAACTCAAAATCACATCTCGGAACTGCACCAATATATGTTTCACTGCAGGCCTCTGTAAGGCCTGCTTTGGCTAGAACTATCCTATAACCATCAAGCTGAGTTCATATCATCCCCAAACTTTTTTTTTTTTAATGTTTCTTTCTCCCTTGCCCCAGAAGTGCTTAACTGACAGTTAAAGTTTTCCTCCTGGTGGCAGGGATCGCCAACCTTTTTGGCCCTATGGGCACATTTTGAATTTTGAGAGCGTGTTCCTGGTGCCAGTCACAAAATGGCTGACATGGGGGCAGGGCATGGCATAACACAAAATTAGATGGTACAGTCATGCTGTACACATGGTGTGTTTCTAAACTAGAAAAGTCTTCACCTGATAAATTTCTCCCTGCCATTTAGCTGCTTGAAGGCACAAGAACTCTGTTTTTCCTCTAATGCCAACCCTAAACCAAAGTGTAGGCTGCCTTATTAAACACGAAGGGACTTACTTCTGAATAGATATGTACAGTGGTGCCTCGCAAGACGAAATTAATCCGTTCCGCGAGTCTCTTCGTCTTGCGGTTTTTTCGTCTTGCGAAGCACGGCTATTAGCGGTTTAGCAGCTTAGCGGCTATTAGCGGCTTAGCGGCTATTAACGGCTTAGCGGCTTAGCGGCTATTAACAGCTTAGCGGCTTAGTGGCTTTAAGAAAAAGGAAACAAACTCGCAAGAACTCGCAAGATGTTTCGTCTTGCGAAGCAAACTCATAGGGAAATTCGTCTTGCGGAAAGACTCAAAAAACGCAAAACCCTTTCGTCTAGCGAGTTTTTCGTCTTGCGAGGCATTCGTCTTGCGGGGCACCACTGTATACCATTGTATAGTGAGTTAACTGTATAGTGAATTCTTCATGAGTGTCTGGTCTTCAGCTCCTGCACAGGAAGTGACATGCCTAAGCCACTTTGCCAAGTTTTTCCATTTCCCTTTTTGGTGAGGACATTCTTTAACACCAACCCACACTGAATTGCCCTAATATCTGACTGCTACCTTAACCCACTAGCGTCTGGCAAGCCCCCTGTCCTGGAGATCTAGCCCTCAACTCTAGAGCCAGGACCAGACTGAGGCAGGATATGTTGATGATGTGC